CCCGCAGGGACCGAGCTGCCGGCTCAGCGGGCACGGGCGAGGCCCCCGCCACGGCCAGGACGTGAGCTGATACCCGGGGTGGGGGGACAGGGACCACCCACCAACAGTGGCCAGGCCAAGGGTCAGGGAGCTGGCCCTTCCCTTCAGTAAAGGTCAAAACGGGGAAATCTCAAGAATCTCTTAAGTCTTGTGCTGCTTGGGAAATTGAGATTTTAACCCCACTAGTTGATTTCCAGAGAAAGGAAGGGACACCACCCCCCCCACCACCCCCACCCCTCCTTACCTCTTCTTCTTGGTTATGATGAGGACGTCGTTGAACAAGAAGAGGTGGCAGAGCCTGCCGGCGCCTCGGCGGAAGATGCCCCCCTCCTCCGAGAGCAGCAGGTAGAGCTCCCCCCGCTTCAGCAGCCACCGGGAAGCAGAAATCAGCGGGAAAGGCTGAAATGGATCCGGGGAAAGTCTGACTGACTACCCGCCTCACAAGCGGCGGGCAAACTCAAGTCCAGAAGCTGTATTTGAGCTCGCGGTGGACGCTGGGCTGTCGGCACGGGCAGGTCGCACGGTTTTAAACATCTTTTTCAGGAAACTCCCCAGGAGGCAGGCGGGGAGGCGGCGCCGCCGTGTACCAGCAGCCCAGAGACGCCGCAGTGGGGTACGGTGCCCAGGCTTTGCTGCAGGACGTTAGAAAACTGCCTGCAGCTGGCGGTCCTGACAGACAGACAGAGCCTCGTGTCTGTCTGGAACAAGACAGCCAAGGACAGACATCGCTCATCCAGCCGGGTGAAACCTCCCCGTGTCAGGGCAAGTCCAGCCCCCGCCACCCGCTGCAGGGGATGAAGGCGCGGAGCGAGGCGGAAGGGTCGTGTGGGTTACCCAGGAGTTCGCAGCCCTGGCAGGGCGAGTGCCCAGAAATGGGTTTTTATGTCAGAAAAATGGTCACTCTGAGCACGGAGCGGTGATGCTGCTCTGGCAGCCCCGGTGCTCCGGCTGGTCAAGGCTTTTCCCAGGAAGCCCTGACAGGGTTCCCCCGACAGCACACGCCAGATTCCCCTCCACCACGCGCACGAGACCTCACCTTCTTCTTTCCAAATTCCAGCTGTTTCTGCAGGGTGTACATCTGCTCTGTCCTCTCCATAGCACGAGCTCCCTCGTTGCAGCTCTTCACCAGCTAGAAAAGGAAAATCAGCACCAGGGCAGCGGCGAAGGGCAGGAGGCCAAGCCCAGCCGTCCTCTGCTCCCCCGGAGAGGAGAAAGAGCCGAGCCCCGACATTGGGTTCAGGGCAGGTTTGGGGAAAGGCAGCTGGAGGTTCCCCTGCGCCCAGAGATCGCCGGGAGAGAGACGGCACCTTCGCTCTGCCTGGGGAAGGACCACGGTGAAACCGCGCCAAAACCAAGCTTCGCCCAGCAGCACTATGAAGGGGAGGAATTAATCGTCCGAAGGGAGGAGGTTAAGACCGGAGGATGAGCACTCAGAAAGGCAGAGGCGGGAGGGAAACCTCCCAGAGCACTGCCCAGCGGGCAGCCGGGCCCCTCGCCTGGCCTCTGCCCCGCAGAGACAGCTCCGGCCCGGGAAGAGCCCGACTGGGGGGGTCCAGGGGGTTGTTCCTCCTCCGGATGCACGAGCAGGACAGACCATGAGCAGCAGGAGCCCGTTGCCGAGAGCTGGTCTTTAGGGGGACAAAAGGAAGAGCCACCACCGCGGCTTTGGCGGCCGCAATCTCCTGCATGAACGACCACCAGCGGGGGAAGCGGGTGGAGATGAGACGGGAGCGCGCAGAGCACACGGCTGGTGAGGGCCACCTCCCCTCCCTTGGCTCCTCCGCGCTTTGCTCGTTGCTTTGTTTACTGCTTTTTGCCTAAATCTCCCAAAACCAGTGTCGCAGCTCGCTCTCAAGGGAGGTCCTGAGACGGGACAGCAACAACGGAGAAGACAACACCGAAGGGAAGGAGAAAAGATAAGCCAAAGAGGAAAGAAGAAAAGATGCCAAAAAAAAGGAAAAAACTATCAGGTGAAAAAGGTGAGCCCGGGAGGAGACGTGTACACCCCGCAGCTCCTTGGAGCAGAGAAACCTCAATGAACCGACGTAGGGAGGAGGAAGGAGAGGCCAGAGCAGCAGGCTCGGGGCCGGGTGACGGAACAGCGGAGAGCTGGCGGCCGGGCCTCACCTTGCTGATGGCTTTCAGCGCTCTGGTGGCAGCTCCGTACGCTGCAGTGCATGCTTTTGTTTTTTGACAGACAGTCTGGAATTTCAAGATAAGACACTTCAGTGATGTTGCAGGACAGAGATCGGCGCCTCAGCCGCCTCCCTGGGACTTGGGGACGCGACAGGCGCTCGGGCCGTTCCCGCGGTCGGCCTGGAGCAGGACAGGCACGTGCCCCAAGCAAGGCTTAACCGTGAGTCTGGTTTCTGCTGGGGCTTTCACCTCGGACACGTGCCCCGGGCACCCCCGGCCCTCACCCCTGCAGCCCATTGCAGACTGGGAGCAGTGACAGCAAAGCCCAACCCAGCAGCTTCGCTGTTCAGCGCAGCCAGGCCCAGAAGTCCCGGGTTTCAGCAACGCTTGTGCAAGACCTGCTGTCCCTTCCTGGCCACCCGACCATTAACCAAACAGGACGCTCGTGCCGCCCTGCCCTGGTATCCAGACGCAGCGCGGGGCGCAGAAGAACCTCGCGTCACCCAGGTGGACGGTGCTGAGGTGTGGAGCTTTAAGCTGCACGTGACACCCACAAGGAGCAGATCGCTCTGGGTCTAAATCCTGACCTCAGGCTCAGGCACCCCAGCCGCAGCGACCAGGGGGCTGGAAGTCCCAGCAGAAGGCTCAGCAAACCACGGAAGGGTGTCGCACAGTCACCTCTGCAGAGGCACCGAGCAACGCACCGCGCGGCTGACTTACATCCAACAGCAGGGGAAGCCGTGTTACCCTCTGCATGGGGAGAATGAGAAACGATATCATTGGCAGGCCTCCACATTCTGGTTTCCTTTCAATTTGTTTCAAGGTCTCTTTAAATAAGGGGTTTGTGGTTCTGGAACAAGACAAGAAAGCTCCATTAACTCTGTTCCTCCGTTATCAAGGTTTCCCAGCAGCTTTCCACACACAAGCGCTGCCGCTGGTCGGCTCAGCGCAGCCGGGGCGGGAAACGGGCCGAGGTGTCGAGGCCACCAAGAGGGGGGTAAAGCAGACGCAAACCTGTACCACCAGTACGCTCTGGAGATGAACAGCCTCCACACATCCCCTAACCCGCCACACCCGCGTTCCCGACCTCCGCAAGCCCCCTCAGCACGCGGCAGCATTACCCCCGCTTACCCCCCATCCTCCACCCTCCTACAGCACAACACAAGCCACGTCCCGGTCACCCGGCAGGGATGCTCTGAGCTCCGCAGCTGAGCTCTGCCAGCCCGCCTTAGGGAAAAGGCAGCAGCCACGGCCTGAGGGAGCCTTGTGCCGGGCAGGTCCCACCTGCCCCGAAGGCCAGCGAGCCCCCGTGGGCAGCTCCGCCGCCCGCCCCAGCGCCCGCAGCACTCACAGCAGCCTCTGAAGTGTCCTCTGCTGGTAGACTTCGTTGGAGCAGTAGCTGACGTAGGGGCTGAAGTGCTTCGAGGCGTGTTCTTCCACTATGTCGCTGATGTCGGGAATCAGGAGGTTTTCCTGGTGTCGCTTCTCTAAGTCCTCGAAGAAGCTACGGGGAGGATTTCAAAGGGCTTCGCCACGTCACTCGTTAGGGCCGGACAACCCCAACGGATGGAGGTTTAACAACATTCCCACTGCAACTTTTTCCCAGTTTTCCCAGAGGACACAAGGCCCTGGGTCCCTTCGCCGCGCAGCTGAGACACCTCCGTCCCCAGCTCCACTGCGGAGTCGGGGAACGGCCTGTCTCTT